CAATCTGAAATTCCTAGGGACTGCAAAAAAGTAGAAGACTTGAGATGCTACACTTGTTACAGGTGAACGAGGTACAAATAATAGCAAATCAGTTCAGCCATTAACACATGACAATGAAGCTTGCGTGCAACATTTTCAAACGTGAACTAATAAGGCCATCTTAGTACGATTACCTTTCGCCACAGTTGATTGGTCAAATCATTCACACACGAAATCATGGGAATAAGCACAAATCAACACAGTATATCACTGAAATAAAATCAAAGTATATGATTTCTTTAATTTTCCACAAACAGACACGCGATAAAAGCATCTTGCCATTGTCTCTAAACACTAAACTATTCACAATTACATAAAATCATCCGGCGTCAAAATTATTTTCAATTTTATCTATTTACCCAATTGATAACATGGCAGTCAGTAGAACTATAGAGCAATGGCAACAAAGAAGAAACTCCTCAATCACTCAACATAAAATTCAATTGGATTATGCAACTAAGTCTTTGCGTCAGCTTTTTCAATCATGTACAGAACAGAGCATCCAAATTCTATCGAATCATACATCAGCACTGCACATAGAGTGCGATTAAAATACCACCCAATTAATTACGATAATCAAGCTTAAGATCCGGCAATCAATTGAAACAATAAATACCCACGAAATTCAACAAATTTAATTGCAGACTGAGCACGATAAAAGTATGAACATGAAGAAAATTCAAAGGAATAACATTAAAATAAATATATGTTATTAAGAGGGAAAAACGTTACCGACAACACTGGATCCACCGGAGCCAAGGGTCATGGTGTGAATATGCAAAAACTGGTTTCTGCGTATGGATCGATTTGATCGGAGAAGGCGGAGTCGAGCGAATCTAAAGAAGAAGGTACGCGAGGTTGAGGGCTTAAAAGGGGCGAGAGAGAGAGAAAGGGGAATATTTTACGAATAAAATAATTGCAAAAGGATTAACAAATAAATAATTACTAAATGATAATTAACTCATTTTATTGAGGGACAATTAGCTAAACAAATCATGATATCTATAATCCTATTAGCAATGAGTACACTGAATATTTTGAACACAAGTTATTGCGTCTTATATTTAATAGGATGTCCGATGGGCCGACTAATTGTTTTATATATTGGGCCTAAAGATAAAAGTTTGAAATTGAAGCTCATTTATAAAAAGAATTAATATAGTGGCCCAAAATTATTAAATTGAGGGTTTCCCCCAATTATGGTCATTAATCCTAAATATGATAGGGTTATTCTTTGATTATTAGGGATTTTATTTCATTTTCATGTAATTGATTTAGATTAGCTATCTTTGTACATATCTGAATTAAGTGTAGAAACCGTGTAGGATTATATTTCCTTATGTTCGATTTTCTTAGGTTCAATCTAGGCCAAACAAACTTTTATTGAAGAAACATTCATCAAAGTATTGAGCTTTACTAGGGCATTCTGTGGAGCAATGTTGTGCCCTCGTTGCACTATCTAAAGGCTGCATTCAAGAAATTTTACCAAAACTATACTAGAAAATGGTCTAAATTATGTTTGAAATCAAAACGAAATTAAAACTATATTTATCACGTCCCACCGTTGAAATGAAAATGTGACAATGCAAGTGATGTATAGTTGTATTAATACTAACTTAATAATACTTGATGTTTTTATTTTTACATATGTCTTTGCATATCGGTAACCTTTCGCTTCACATCCGTAGACTTGGCCTTGACCGTGTTTTTCGGAGCTAGGTTCGGTAGCTAGGTAAACTAAACAAGTGAAGGACATATATATGCCTGTAGTTTACGATGACCCCGCAAGTGCCGAAAAAGCCCTCAAAACACTCTATCAGGCACTAGGATTCGTGGAGAGGCCTATAACTCTATCATAGTCTAATAAGCAGCCACACTCCATGAAACGATTCCCCCGAGGAAAGAATATTCCGATCGAAGGCCGATTTCAAATGATCAACAAGTAGGCAATTAAATATGTGACTTGGCTGCAAATTGAAAAGAAAAAAAAATTAAAAATAAAACCAAGAAGAAGAAGAAGCTGATGACCATTAAACATTAAACATCAAAACATTGAAAAATAAAGAACCTGTGAATTGAATTCGTATTTATCGCATGATGTAATAGCCTCCTCCTCCTTATTATTATTATCTCTCAACTGTCTCAATTACTCTTGCATTTACTTGGTTTTAATGTTTCTCAAATCTAATATAGTTCTCCCTCATTTTTCTTTCAATGCCCGAACTACCCTTTCCAACTCAATCAACCCTTGTCCAATTTACCTAATTACCCTCCAATGCATGTTCATAAAATAACCCCACACACCTTTAAATGCATGGCATCTCTTCATTGATTATTCTGCTTAATTGTAATATTGACATTGAACTACTTGTACACACATCTATTTATTAATCATCTCTCCTTTAATATGCATGTTGTTTTAGAAATTTATAAACTATATTAAAATAGGTTTAGGGTAATC